CCTCCTCCTCCTCCTCCTCCTCCTCCCCCTCCCCGCCACCCCCGTCGAGAAGCAAGGCGACCTGCACTCTGCGGCGCCGTCCGCATCATGCTCGGGCGCCCCGCGATCCCTTTACGTTGCACTCTGACGGGGACATACAGCCTGTACCTGGGGCGCCTGGAGGAAGAGGAGGAGGAGGAGGAGGAGGAGGAGGAGGAGGAGGAGGAGGAGGAGGAGGAGGAGGAGGAGGAGAGGAGAGAGGAGGAGGAGGAGGAGGAGGAGGGGACATATATGATCGCGGGCTCCGGGTCCTCGGGCCCCCCCAGATGGGATGGGTCCCACAGTCCTCGGGCCTCCCCCCCCAGATGGGATGGGGGGGGGAGGAGGAGGAGGAGGAGGAGGAGGAGGAGGAGGAGGAGGAGGAGGAGGCGGAGGAGGGAGGAGGAGGAGGAGGAGGAGGAGGAGGAGGAGGAGGAGGAGGAGGAGGAGGGGAGGAGGAGGAAGAGGAGGAGGAGGAGGAGGAGGGACATATATGATCGCGGGCTCCGGGTCCTCGGGCCCCCCCACCCCAGATGGGATGGGTCCCAGGGTCCTCGGGCCTCCCCCCCCCAGATGGGATGGGGGGGAGGAGGAGGAGGAGGAGGAGGAGGAGGAGGAGGAGGAGGAGGAGGAGGAGGAGGAGGAGGAGGAGGAGGAGGAGGAGGTGGAGGAGGAGGAGGAGAAGGTTGTTGGGGACGGGCCTAAAGCCGGAGCACCTCCTCGTTCAGCCAAAATCGGAGGCCTCCGAGTCTGACTCGAAACCGCAGTCCGAGGCTCGGAGGGAGGCGGCCCCTAGGTCCTTGACCCAGGATAAATCCGACTCGGACAGGCCGAACGAATCCAACACCTGCTCTCGCGGGGCGAAGCCCTCCGCGGAGCCGACATTCACAGGACCTGAAACTCCCTGGGGGGCCTGGCCATCCTCTACCAGCGACTGAGCCAAGACCCTCTGCTCGGCGAGGCTCAGGCTCTCATGAGCCCCCAGAGTCAAATTCTTCAGGTCCTTCTTATACGAGGGAAACTTGCCCTGCCGAATCCTTCTCAGCTGGTCATTAATTCCACCCGTCGTGAGTTTGGGCCTGCACAGGCCTTTAGCTCCAGCATTGGGAGCCCCAGAGAAAAACGATCCGCACCGACAACAAAATTGGATCCTACCCCTGGGGTTTCCAGGAGGTTCAATGACAGGGCTAGCCAAAAAAGCATGGCCGTTGGCCCGAAACACTTGCCGAGAGAATGAACGCCACTCCTCCCCCAAGTCCGAAGAACCTCCCACCTCCCTTTGATCGTCGCCCAGGGCCTGGCCGAGGGCCTCAACCTCTTGTGAGTGCTGCCCCTGGCCATCGCTGCCTGTCGACCTGGGCACTAGGCCTGTAGTGTCACGGGGCCCGTTGGACATCAGTACCTCTACCGATCCAGCCCACCTGCAGGCCTCGCGGGCGAGGCACCTTGAGGCCTCTGTACAGGCTGGCCTCTTCGTCGCTGACCCCGTGACACTCGGCTCCTAGTTTGGCGAACTTATCTGCGAGCCCATTGGCCCGTCTTTCCCAAACACTGCTCCTGCCCGCCTCGACATCGGCCGCCGTGGCGTGGCCGAGCGTCTTGAAGCACTCGAAATCGCTGAGAGTGAACGAGCACCACACGGGGCCCCAAAGATGACCGCGGGGGGCTCCAGGGCCCTCCGCGAACCCAGGGCCCCGAGACAGCGAATCCAGAGTGCTCTGGCAATCTATATAGCATTGAAACGGGGGAAGACCAACTTGCGTAAGCATATATACAGCATAGTCTTCCCCATCTTTGCTAGTTTGCTGCGGGGCCGCACTCAAAGGAACTGGACCATAGGCCGCCGAGAGCAACTCCCCAAACCTGTCGACCGATACGATACTCCAACCAGCCCGAGTGAGTCCATCGAGGCCCATGTATTTGGCCGACCCGTCCAGGAATAACAACCCCGTCAAACGCCCCGTCTCGGGCCTCTCGTGCCAGTGAACTGTTTGCGTGGGCTCCTCGACGTCGAAGAGCGAGCGAGGGTGAGGAAAGATGCACCTCGCGAACCTCTCCGCCATG